GGCGAGATATGCAAGGCTACTATCATTCTTCATTCTGATCGGATCAGCCGTGCCCGGCCGTGCCCGGCTAGTCGGGCCGGGCGAACACCCTTGTCGAACAGCATCGGGCTCAAGGCGGGTTGTGCCGCGGTAAAGCCCCTCGGAGAGCCCCGATACGGCGATCCCCTGCCATAATGCCCTCGCGCATTTGTCATCCGTTTGCACGGGCCGCCGGGCCGCCGCCGCCGCCGCCCGGCCAACCGCCCTGATGGATGACCTCCCCGTCGAGACGCACAATCACTTTCAAATCACAGCGCCACTCTTCTTAACCCTCTCGCTCTCTTGTCTCTCGCCTCTTCACTTTCCCTTCCCGAACTGCAGTCAGCGCATCTCATCCTTTCGCGAGTGCGCTTGCCGCGATGACGTTTAGTTTGCCTCTAGTGTTTTTACTTTGCTTTTATTTTTTATTGCCGCGGCTGCCGCCAGATGTCGCCGGGATGACTGATCCCCCGTAAGGCGCCGCTCCTCGCAAAGCACTCTCTCTCTCTCTCTGTACGGCGGGATCATTGCGCGCGGCGGTGCGCGCGTTGTGATGCATGAAAGTGCGAGTGTGACCCCAACATCAATCACGCCCACAAGCCGCGGCGGCGCGGCGTGGCGTGGCGTGGCGTGGCGTGGCGTGGCGTGGCGGCGCGTCACTTCATCACACACATGCTAATGTCGCGCGCGCCCCCGCCCCGGCCCGGCAGCACCAGGGTTGAGGGTGGACCCAAGGGGTACCTTCAATTTCAAACGAATTTATCCTTGATTTTTCCTAGATTTTCCCTTGATTTTTTCTTGACTTTCCTTGAATTTTTCCTTAAATTTTCCTAGATTTTCCCTTGATTTTCCCTTTATTTTTCTTTGAGTTTTGCGGAGTTTTCTGTTTTTCCCTGCTTTTTTCCTGATTGTTTCTTATTGTTTCTTAGAGGGTGTACACTGATTTTATCTTTTAGTGAAGTGCCCCTCGGCCTCCGCGAGGACCTCCGCGATCACAGCTACCCCGGGGCGGCGGCGCGGAGGTCGTCGAGCACCCGCTCCGCGCAGCCGTGCCGTGCCCACGTCAGACTGCCCTCCCGGATGTGGGGGCGCGCGGCGGCGAGGCCAGCGGGGTGGAGGTGTGCCGCACAAAGGCCGATTTCCTGTGACTCAATCACGCCATCGGGGGGCCGAGGAGGGATGTGTGTGTGTGTGTGTGCGCGCGCGCGGCGCGTTGCGGCGCACAGACGTCAAGGAGGGTTGAAATTTCAAGGGTGCAAAATACGGGGTCCTTTGTTTATTTGTCTCCCCGGCACTCCCTCCCGCGAACCCCTCCGGGCCGGGCCAGACCGGACACGGTGGGCCGCCGGGAGGGCGTGAGGAGGGCGACTTTCTTTTATCAGAGCCTCCGCCGCCTCCGCCCTCCTTCACCCAGGTGGCTGATCACCCGTGGCGTGGTGGCGGGGCGTGGCGGGTCAGAGGGGGCAGGCGGGCGCAAAAGCACTGTTGTTTGCCGAGGCTCGGCTTACCGGACCGGCGGGCGATACCGGCTAAAGCCAGGCCGGCCGGGGCCTTCGCCTTCATGGCTCGTGCGTGGGCGAGGACGAGAACCCCGACAAGGAAAGAGGAAGAAACGAGGAAAGGCGAGGTGGCGGCGGAGGAGGAGGGAGGGTGGCCATGGTGGCGGAGAAAGAAGGATTAATAGTTGACGCCTGGCCTGGTCCTCGCCCCCTCCCTCCCTCCACCCCGGTGCCGCCGCCGCCGGACGCGTCCGCGATCAGGGATTGAGCGCGAACAAGGAGAGGAAGGAGCACAAGAAGAGGGTAAACAATGACGTGTGTCGCCGAGGGGTTGGGGGGGGGGGGGGGGGAGTTCATTCCACCTTGCGCGGTCAGGAGCCCGGGCTGGAGCGGACTGGACCGCCGATAAAAGGATATATCTGGAGCTGAGGCGCCGGGGAAGGCGGGGCAGGGGAGGGCGGGGGCGGAGACGAGGCGGAGAGCAGGGGCAGAGCGTTAGTGGAACAGGAAGTCTTACGCCCCACGATGAGGGCCCTGAGGAGGGAAAGAAATATCTATAAGGCTGTTTGGACGGCTAAGCCGGGCACCATGGAGCGTTGGCGGCGCCAGGGCGTGCTGGCGGGGGCGCGGGGGCGTCGTGGGGGCAGGCGG